TCATGCCAAAACCTTTTAGTGGATTTAAATAACGGAGCAATATAAACTGTGCAATAGATGCAGTCGTTAATTTTGATAGCTACCGCTTGAACCTCGTTAAATTGAAAATTTAGATCAACAACAAAATATCTGATATTTCGTTTTATTAGAAGGGCAGCTCCTTCTTTGCCATCAGCTCTGCAGCAAGGTTCAAAATTGTATTTAGAGTGTGAGAAAAATTGTTGGTTATTGGGTTTAATCCAAGATTCGGAGATTGAAATTATATCTGGATTGTTATTATGAATTAAGAGTTCTAACTCGTGGCGTTTGTTAACTATACTTCTTGGGTTCCAGTGTATTATACTAACCATAAAATTTAAATAGATTCGTTATCACTCCCCATGACCATGACTTCATTTGCCTGATCAGGGTTGCAATCGACCGAACCAAAAAATTCATTATATAGCTGAATTAACAAGTCTGGATTAGACTTGGATAATTGAATAAATAGCTGTAGGAAAGTGTTATTAACGTCAGGTACCTCAGTAGACGATTGAGTAGTACTTGACTTTGAAAAGCACGGTGATTTTTGAGGGCTATTTGGAAGCCTTCCGCTTTGATTGACGTGGGCCTGCTCTGAGAATTGGGCTGATCTTTTAACCGGTTGGGAAACCACCTTTGAAATAACTTTGGTAAATTTTCTATTTTTAGAGGGTGAATGTTCCACACTGTCATCAGGAACAATTTGTGAAGTAAGGGGGGGAAATTGACTGGATAAAGGATTAAACGTCGAATTTTCATTAGGAGAAACCGAGTTGTTAATCCTAGGAACTTTTTTGGAAGCCTCAAAAAATGTAAGTTTATACTTAGCCATAATTTCTTTGATAGTTTTTTGTCTTAGGAACTCTGGGCACTTTCTATCTTTGAAAGGAGTCCCTTTTTCAGTGGAGGAATGAGCATTACCACAAAATTTACATTTAATCACACAGGAGTTATGAGAATCTTTATTCTCTATCTTGTCCCCACATTTGTCACATGATTCGAAACCTTTGCATTGAGAAATGGTATGCCCGTAGTGCAAGCATCGAAAGCATTGAATAACCGGCTCTATATATGTGGATGTCAAATGTGAGGAATAGAAAAGGTCCATACGTTCTGGGATGTATTTACCCCTGATGGAGAATATGACCATTGAAGTATTTACAATATTGATATCACCGTCTTTTGTACGTTCTTTTCTTTTAATCCTTCTTACCTCTAGGATATCCCTTTTAGTATTCATAGCCGCTAGGTTTTCCTTAATTTCTTCCTCTGTGAAATCTACATCGACGTTTCTAATAAGACCTTTTGTTGAGATTAAGTGTCTTGGAATTGAGGCAACCAGTTTATTATTATTCAAAAAAGTTTCGTTATCCAAGAATTGATTGGCGGATTCAAAAGTTTTAAAATAAATTGCAGATCTGTTTTTACCTCTTTTTGTAACCAGCCATTTCATGATGACGGACGCTACCATTTGACCAAAATCTTGTCAAATATTTTAAAAAAAATGCCCAAAAACTAAAACTGATTTTAAAGCTAATATTAAAAATTGAAAGTGGAGATGAGGTAAAAAAAAATAACATATAAAATAATTATGTGACATTTAGGGATTCCAAGATTTTACTTTTTAAACTTAGATGACGGACGCTACAAAAAATGGAAGTGGAATAAATTTATTTTATGTTTCACCTGAATATTAGCAAATTGATAAGGGATTAAATTTAAACTTTATTATAATATATTAAGCATTGGACTAGATAAATATTTTTTATTTTTATTTTGTATTTAGTTTAATAGATAATATATAAGTACATGAAATATGTGATGATGGACGCTACATGACGGACGCTACAAAAGTTCCACCAAATTGCTAATCTTTTATTTTTCAATTTAATTCAAATAAACAACCAAAAACTTCACTAAACAAATAAATTCTACATTTAACAGTAAAATATGCCACTACTTAAATACAACACACGATTCGTAACAGTCTAACATCTTCAGTAGATGTAGTAAGTCCATGAATTATTGTGGGCTTCTCGTCACGCAACTTTTCGGGGATAGTTTGTAAAGCTAACTTCTGCACTACAATTTTTCTTTTACGAGGACTTCCTGGTAACATAATATTATTTTTAACTTTTTTTGAAGCTTTACCCAACGTTTGAGGACATCTGTAAGGACTATAAGACTGCTCAATATTTTGTCTCATTTGTTTAATGTTTGATGTAACGCCTCATTCTTTCAGTAACTTTTTTCTCAATTTTTCGTAAATGACTATCAAATTGCAACTTTTCTTTTTTCTTTACTCTTTCAACTTTTTTATTTTCGGCATCTTTTTTTAAAAGTGCAATTCTTGTAATTTCGTCACTTTTATTTTTTTCTCGATAACGTTGCGCGGCAATTCTGTTTTGTGCTTCTCCTTTTGATCTGTAAAAAATATTCCACCGGTATAAAAATCTCTCGAAAAATCTTTAAACAAGGTTAGAATGAGCATTTGTGTGTTTTTAATTTAGTCTAATTTAACAGTAAAACAAGATAAATGAAAAATCTAAAAAAATATTACTTAAACATTTTTTGCTTACGGACGCTACAAAAAAGTTTAATTAAAAAAAAAGATAGATTCTTGAGATATCAAAAAAAGCTTAATATACTGACAAGAGGCAAAATGTGTGTTTTTAAAAATAAATAATTTAGTCAAAAATTATTTATCTTCATTAAGAAATATTAAGTATTACATCTTTTTGATGACGGACGCTACACTAACAACATAAAATAAATAAAGTTAATAAAAAAATACTACTTACTCATTTTGATTTACAAAATCGTCACCAAACACTCTGATAATTAATATTTTAATGAAATAAAATAATGACAGTTGTATAATAAATGACATAATCACTGAACAATAGCCTGCTAAATAACTTATGTTTTGATACATTTTGTTAGGATGCGTTCGCATTAAGTAAAATATTGTTTTAAGGGCCTAATAATGGAAAATATATTATTTTTATATTAGATATGTAAAATTTAGACTACGTGCACAATATTTCATATTAAAGGTATTGCATATAAACAATTTTAAATTGTGCTCCTTAGTTTCAAATTCTCCGGAATGGCTGTAACCCGAATAATATTAGGCAATTTATCAGTAAACAAGGACTTTCCCAATTTTTGATGATTTAAAATGGATAAATCCATTGATTGTACGTTAATGACAAATGGTCCCGGATCATATAAACCGTATCTAATTTTATTGTACATTTTATTTAATTCAACATAATGTTCAGTTTTTTCACGCTCCGTTTTTTTATCAAGAGAATGCGTTTTTTGTTTGTCAGCAATTTGCGATGTAATAGCGGCAGGAGTATCTCCAAGTGATAGGAGACCCTCAGCAGCATCAATCAAATGTTTATCTACTACTTTATCATCTAAATAATTGTTAGCCCCTGTCTGAGAAACACCCGGATCAGGTGGCTTTCCGCGGCCGCGACCGGCCATGCTGGTCGCGGTGCCAAATAAAACTTATTTTAAATGATATGCTCCTATTAAAACAAAGGAAAGGTAAACACTCACAGTTGGGAATGCAGCCAAGCTCAAGAAGTGCCGAAATTCGTCGTGGTCAATGCTAAGGTCAATCGTATACACAACCGTTCACACCGACGTCGGAATCAGGAATCCAGGAGCAGACTTCGCATACAAAATACGTTTTGTCCAAAAATAATTGAATTCAGTATATAGGGTGTTTTAGGTTTGTTTATGTAACTATAGAAATATTATTAAAAATATATGCAAGTTGTAGTTTTTGACACAAATAACAGTTGGGTTATGTTTTTTCAAATAAAGGTGTCCCGTAAATATGAACTAACCGAGAAAACCAGGAATTTATTTCAGTAACCAGACCGGTAACTCGTGTGTATTTACGGAACATACCCTAAAAATAAGAAATAAAAATAAGAAATTAAAAAATAAGAAATAAGAATAAAAAATAAGAAATAGTTTCATTTGTTGTCATTTATGTCTGATAAATAATAAAAATAAGAAATAAGAAAAATATGCAAAAGTGAGGTTAAACCTGATGTTTGACAGTTCCCAAAGCGTTCGTTTCTTTGGTTGGTTTGTTCTGTGGTAACCTTTTAAAAATCAGAATTAAAAAAATTTTATTACTTACAACAGCATTTTTACTGTTGCAAAAAAGAATTGTTCGTAAGAAATGGGCTGCGAGGCGGTACAGCATTCGACCCCTAAATCTTAATCGCAGGGTTACAGGAAATTTTTATCCCTGTCGTCCATATTTCCAATAAAATAATTAAATAACATAAAAACAATCCAAAAACACCAATTATTGCAGTAATCAAACAACACAACAATTAAGAATTAACTATTGCACAAAAGTATTTGCGAATTTTCCGCGCGAAACAAAAACCTGTCAGCTGAAAATAAATCATTTGCGCACAAAAATACGCAGAATAAGAATCTTAAGTTGAAAATTGACAACTTTTATTTTTATTTCTTATTTTGGTGAGTATAAAGTGATGTTAGCAATTATAAACCTTTAACTTTTATTTTTATTTTTTATTTTTATTTCTTATTTCTTATTTTAATGGAGCATAAATTCACCTTAAGTTACTTAAAATCAATAAACTTACCTTCTCAATTTAAATAAAGGCACTAAAAACTAGAATTTATTATACATTGTACAAACACAATTAATTGTGTTCTAAATGATTTATATATACAAATACAATACAAATTTTGAAACGAATGTCAAACGATGCTGTCAATTTCTTTTCACACAGACCTGTCACTTTTCACACAGAAATTTCACTTTACATTCGTGTGAGCGATTGTCCATTTATTTATCTACAATATTCTTTAATATTCGTTTAAATCCGACATCAAATAAAAAAGTTATTTGCGATTGAAATTCATCGAAAATTTGTGTGGGCCGATTATTTTGCACGTGAGTGTATGTAAGTACTTACCGATAAACGGATCTTCCAAAAGTTCTCCAGCGGTGGCTCGTTTGTTCGGGTCCGGTTCGAAGCACCGCTTGATAAACGCCTTTGCGCGGTCCGAAAGCTCTTCGGGCAGGTCTGGATGCTGTTTGTACATGCCGACGCGGAACAGCGCAGCCTGCGGCGAACCCAGCTCGATGAACGGAGGTTTGCCGGTCGCCATTTCTACTACGGTGCAACCTAGGGACCAGATGTCGGCCGGCGCGCCATAACCTAAAAGATAATTAGATCATTTATAAATATATTTATTTATTATATTAACCAGAATAGGGACATAAGGGCTAACCCCGTACATTGGATAAATTAAAAGAAGCTACTATGTTTTTAACGATTTTATAATTATTTAAGACTCCCGTGTCACACCCTGTTTTGATATGATAAAATAAAAATTGTAGTGGACCCAGTAACAATTTACTGATGTGCAAAATTAAAGCAAGACTTTTTTAAAGATATATAAAATTTAAATAAAATAGCCTAGGAAGTTCTTCTTTGGATATTTTTACTTAGCAAGATTGCCGAAGGGCTTCGCAGTAGTTTCAGGAATACGCCTTTTAAACTACCCCCCTGTCAAAAGGGTGAGTTTGAATAATTTTTATAACACAGGTTACTATTATGCTCCAAAAACCGTTTAAATTTATTAGAAAGGTCTGCTAATATTTTCTAGGTCCTTTATAATGTCCCCGGAATACACTTAATTATGGTTTTGGAGTACCTGCAACGTCCGACCAAAGTGACCTCTACAACTAAGGAGACATTTTTTTTTGTAATTTGTAATTTTTTATCCTGTACCATAGTATTATCTGTTATCTTCCTCAAACAGCTTCTTTCATTTTACATCTTTCTTGTCCACCTTATCCTATTTTTTACGAGGGTCTAGCTAAACGCCTGAAGGTAGGCAACCAATTATGACTTTAATCATGTACTGAATAAATACTGGTGTGTCTATAGTATTCATAACACTTCTCCAGTCTAGTCGTACAGTAACAAAAATTAAAACAGTTTAAACGATTCAAAACAAAAAATAAATAAGAAAAATTGTTGGTGGTTACGTGGTCTGGTCGGATGGATCTTTTGAAGGCGATGTTAGTAAACCAGCCTGCCAAAGTGACCAAAGTAAAAAGCAGTTTATAAAGGGTGTCTCAAAAGTAACGCAAGATTTGAATTAAATAGAAAACACAGTTTTTAGTCTTTAAATTGTTATTTTTTTATTGAATCACAAAGTACATAGGATAGGGTTGCGTTACTTTTGAGACACCCTTTACTTCTTTTACGGGTCTTTGTCTCTGGATGTTAAAGAGGGAATGATTGAGCCTGGAGGTAGTAGTTATATACAGAAAAGAAAACGAGGTAAAATGGAAGAGGTCGCTTGAGGAGTTAGGATAGGGAATATAACAGGTATTGTTATCATACAGCATAGAAAATTACAAATCCTTTAAAAAAATATTTCCTGAATGGCCCAACATTCACTGCTGTAGGACGCTACAGGTACTCCAGAAGCATAAGTGTATTCTTGGGAACTAGGGCAAAACTCGACATAGAAAATATAATACGTTTTTGAAAGGTTTTCGGAGCATAATGTGTATAATAATAATGCAGATTCTACAATTTTCTTAATTATAGATTCATGATTGATGGCAAAGAAATAAACAAAAATATATTTCAGTTTTAAATACTACCAGGCTGGTAGTACCAGCTCATCAGATTTGTCAATATGCTATGAAATTTCAAAAAACTGTCTAAATGTGCAAGGTCATGCTTCACTTGGTAAGTTTTATTTTAATTTCTAAATTTATAAGGCATTTTACGATTTATTTATTTTAGGTAAATGGTGAATTTGATCTCATGAATGTCAGAGTTGGTGAAATTTGTGAAACATCTTTACATAAGGAATGACAAAAATCTGTTTTTCTAAGGAAAAAAATATTATTAATTAAATAGCTTATTATTAAAAGTAAATTTTTTGACATTTTAAGTTACTACTTACTACTTAAGTTACCAAGATGGAGCGTTTTGTGATAAAATAAACGTTTTATCACCAAACGATCCGTCTTGGCCGTTTTAGTATTCGATAAGTAGCAATCATAGATAATAAATAAGCAATCATGGTAGCAATAATATTATGTAACTCAAAATGTCAAAAAATTGACTTAAAATCTTACCCTGCCCGGCAATTCAATGACAAAATTTTTGTGTTGCTCTATAATGCAAAGGATTTTTTCAAGATTTGTTTTTTTATGAAATACATATACCTAATAAAATATAAAAGTATATTTACGTACTTTTTTTAAACACAACAAAATAAAACATACATTAAATGTATGTAAACAATTTTTTTAAATAAACTTTAAGTTACTGGGGTTTTTCACACTATATTTTGTTTAAATTATAATACAGTGTGCTAATTGAAAATTGGGTTTCAAATTTTATATTAATTAAATTAAGTTTATTCGGATTACTAAACACTGTGTTCACATGTAAACTTTCTGTTCTTTTTTTATGAAATATACCTTATAAAATATAAAAGTATATTGAAGTATTTTTTTAAACACATCAACACAAAACATACATTTTGTATTATTATTAAAATAAGTTTTTTCGGATTAAATGGTTAGCACTGTGTTCACAAGTAAACTTTCTTTTGGGTAATGAAACGGCGAAACGCTTATTATCGGTACCGGATTGCCACAATTGAGAACACTATAGGCAGCGGCAAAGCAAAGCTACAAAATATCCAAAGGATAACTTTCTAGACTATTTAATTAAAATATTTAAAAAAGTGGTGCTTTAATTTTGCATATGAGTTTATTTTATTTTTTTATAATTATTTAATTCTAGGATATATAGGATTCAACTTTGACTACTTGTATGATTAAAGAATTCCAAGTCGATTCCCACATCAAATTAATCGCAAAAAATGGTCTTTTAAAAAAAACTTTGAGGTTGTTTTTAAAAATGTAGAAAAATAAAGACAATAAGTATACTTTATACAGCATAAAATATAATTAAAAATTATTTTTCTTTTTAAAATTGGTTAATACCAATGCCAATACCCTGGAATAACAATATATAATCATATACAATATATGGGTGATTCTACAAAAGTTGGGCAACTTTTGACCTCATTTTGTTTATATAGTTTTCGGAGAAAATTAACCTGTATTTTTTATGAGAACATAGATAATATAATAAATATACTGTTCCAGACCGGGTCAGTCACTTTTTCTGAAATATCTGTGTTTTCTAAATTTGAATGCAAGGTAAGTGACGAGACCAGGGTACTAATTAAATACATAATTTATTGGAAAATATAAGATTTATTGCAACTTTGAGCATATTATACATTAGCAACTTATTAAGATATTAAATGAAAATATTGAATGGAATACTGTAAGAAAGGCGAGACACTTTACAAACTCGGAGAAAGGAGAATAACACAATCTGCTATAAAATGGTACAATGAACTTCCTGAGACAACAAAAAACCAAGAACAATAACAAAAATTTCGACATCGGTCAAAAACTATTATTTATCTTTAAGAAAACTGTGATAACTGCCTGTACCTACTTCCACATATTTATATTACATACTTTATTTATTTTATATTTTAGTGTTTTTATATAAAATTTGTTGAATATTTTTATTTTTCTATTATTGTACCTGCTATGGAATCATGTATTCTTTTTGGGTTTATTAAATAAATTAAATTAAAAAAAAAAAATCTTAAAATCAAATAATACCAAACATCAGTGGCGGCTGGTGGATTTTGGGTATACCGATATCTCAATTATTAGATATGGGACCCACACCAAATTTATATGAGTTTATAATGACATTAAATAAACAAGTTCTGCGCAAGCAGAATTTAAATTGAAGTTTGCGAAAAAAAGATAACCGAAACATCGAACATGGAACTGACGACACGGTACTGATGAATGGGATACAAATTTGAGATTAAAATTCGGAATTAAGTATTTTACTGATATTTTTTATTAGTGGATGCTACTTATCAACAAATCACATAAAGCCTTATATAAATTACAATGAAATATATATACGTAAGAAAATAACTACTCACCACAGTACTGAAATTTTGACTGGAACTATACGTGCATTCACCACAACTTCGCCGCTTGCATTGTTTTCAACATGACTGTCGTGCAAAGGGCGGGCTCTCTAGGTAATTTTTTACCAACACTTGAGTTAAAATAAGGACTTGACGTTTAAACTTTAATATTTCGCAGGAAATTTGAATTTTAATATTGGACACAGAACTGACGGGTAAAAGTGAGTACAAAGATTATCAATTTTTTAAAAATTGCTATTATTCGAATCTATGATAAAATATGAAAAATACATTATTTAATGTTTGATAGTTTGTAGTGAAATAGAAAAATTAAATATAAATATATAATATAAAATTTTAAAATAAAATCACTCAAATATTTGATTCAGGAGTTGTGACACGCCAAGGTACTGATGTTTTGAATATTTATTATGTTTTTTCTACAAACGTGCTTTTAAAAAAATACATTAAAATTGGGTGGACAAGTTAAAAACCTGGATAATTCGTAATATACTAAAATATTTACAAAAAATATTAAAATAAATACTCTGTTGACTGATGACATCAAGTTGTCCAACTTTTGTAGAATCACCCATACATATAATATTGTAGATGAGTCATTTTCACTTAACAGTGTAGAACCTTGTCATCCCAAGGTACCGTAATATTAAATATACTTTATTGTTAAACATACTTATTTAAAAAATATATTTTTATTTTATTTTATTTTGCATTGTTGGAGATATAAGTACGTAAGCTAATTACTAAACCACTGTAAACCCGGACCGGCCTACTTTTACGATCTGTATACCAAACTCGTTACTTAACATGGTGCACAATATATACCTCGTATAATTTATACAGTATAAACGACAATTAAGCTCCAGAAATGACGCCATATTTCAAGCACCAGTGCCGCCTTCTATGTGTTCTAACATGCATTTTAAAGGTCTAGTACCTTTTAAAATTGCATGACCTTTGGTTGAGAAATAACAAATATATAACATTTCTTCCCAAAATTGTATGAAGAAACAAAGAACTGTAATAAAATTAAACACAAAACTTGGTAAAATTGCATCAGAAACACTCCAGTTGATGCATCAAGTATACGCCATTAATTAATTAATTGTTAATTTAACCAAACAAAATGTATGCTCACCACATATATGTAGTCTTAAAATATGGCGCCACTCTGTCAACTTAATTTTCGCACTGTGTATATAAAACTGTTCCAAGTTTGGCAAAAGGTGGCAGGTTTGGCGCGATTTGCCTCATATAAACGTTGCTTTTTTAAACTTGTGAACTTACCTCTTTGTCCTTTGTTTATAACCTCTGGTGCCATGTACTGTAAAGTCCCAGTGAAAGTCTCTGTATTGGGACACAGCCCTAATAAACGTTTAGATGTCCCGAAATCGGAAATTTTCAAAACGCCATTATACGTGTTTACCAGAACGTTATCGCCTTTGATGTCCCTGTGCACAATTTTTTGCGTATGCAAATACTTAAGACCTTCAAGGATTTGCTTGGTATAGTGGGCCATGATGTTTTCGTTGGTTTTTAATGGGCCCCATTTGGATCTCAGCAGCGCGCTTAGAGAACCTCCAGGAACTTGCTCCATAAAAATTTTGAAGTAGTCGCCTTCCGACAGAGAACCTAAAATGTATTTAATAAAAATTTGAATGTATGAAAATTTCATACATTCAAATTTTATTGTTAACGATTTGTAAATATACCCTAGGTATGTAAATTACAATATGTAGAATATATTTGTGTTTTTAAGTTTTTTTTTAAACAAGTAATTTGTAGTTGGTTAAATAAATTACCAGAAAACGAGTTTTTTTTACTTCTTGCAGACAAAATAAAAATTTAATGATACGGAAAAACTATTTATAGACTTTAACATTCTAAAATACGCTTTGACATTTGTAAACACGTTAAAAATATTTTATTCTGAAAAACTGACTGTTATTTTCTACTCTCAAGGAAATTTTTTAACGCTCTTAGCGTTTTTGAGATTGATCAAAATAATCACCTAAATACTGAACGATGTTTTTGTGCCTGAGGTTCGAATGCAACTGTATTTCCTCGTGGAACGGCTGCACGGCTCCCAAATCCTTCTCTGGTATCTCTTTGACAGCTATGCGTATTTGTTTATTTAGGTCACGCGCGGCATACACTACACCGTAGGTGCCTTTGCCGAGAATTACCCGTTTGCCCTGTTCGTCCGTTTCGTATTCGTATCGTATTTCTATGGGCGGCTCTGGCTCCACCAGGCCCTCTGGATGATTGGTCAACTCTAGGATCATCTCGTAGAACGCAGACTTGCATTGCTCGGACGGGAAGTAAATTTGGAAGTCGTCGGAATTTTGATGCACGTAAAGAAACACGCAACGATCGTCTTTTTTCGAAAAACTTACACTTCGAATGTGGTTTGCGTGAAACTCCCAGTCGTGGATTTGTTTGCATTCGTTTTTCATGGATTTTTTGCAAAAATTTGTTACCTGAAACATACGTCAAATTTTTAGTCAAAACTTAAATTTGCCTGATTTGTCCACGATTAAAAAAAAAACTGTTATAATTTTTTTAAATTTAATAATTTCAAAAATCGATCTTTATAGAACCGTTTGTAAATGAAATAAGATTGAACAAACTCCTAATGTTCGTTTACGATTAGATATTGATCTAAAAATTGAAATAAAAAAATCAATATGGAAACTTTATGCTAATTTTATATTTATATATATTAGGGTGTGCCAAAAAAACTCGATATTTTTTTTCTTGCTCTCCACCCAAAATATCGTAGAATATGTCCGAACAAATATTCTGTTAAAAGCGGAGCTCATAATTTCAATTTTAAATAACACAGAAAACTGACTTTTTTACCTTATTTATTCTTGCAACCTAGGAAGAATTTTTTTTTTCATAAAATCCATGACTAATTCTTACAAAGCATTAAATTTGGACAAAAAAATCTTATTAAGCCGAATTTCTATTTTCATTATTTGATTTTTTACAGAGCTTTAAATAGAGATGGGAAAATTCCCATTTGACGAAAATTCCCGGAAACTTTCCATCGAAAATTCCCGAAATTTTCCGAAAGTTTCAAAAAAAAATTTTGTAAAGCGAAAATGTTTTTTTTATGCCAGAGATTTGCAAAAATATATAACACATTAACTTTTTGTCAAATTTTATTAAGAAAAAAAAAATAAAAAAAATGTTTATAAGAATGTAACTGCAATACTATTTTTAGTATCTTTTACTTTGGAATATTCCTATTGTATACTGAAACCTACAAAATAAAAATAAAATGTTTACTATTAGAAATTCACTGCTAGTAAATCCTAGAATTACGTAAAAAAAATTAAAAGGGACAAAGTAACTAATATATAGGAATATTGAAAAGTAAAAGATACTAAAAATAGTATTGCAGTTTTAACTGATAAAATATGAAAGAAAAAACTACAGGCAAAATAAAATTAACATTTCTGACTAGTAGTGACTACCATTGCACATAAAAAAATAGCAAAAGTAAAAAACAAAATAGGATTTTCATTGAGGTTATGTAACATAACTTACATTATTTATACTTCTTCTGCTTTAAATTAACACACATTAAATTCTTATTCAAAGTTTCTTGGCTTTGTATCATGGCCTTAACGAAAATCAGCGGTTAAACAATTGACATTTAAATGAAAAAAACAAGGAAAGTTTCCAAGGAATGTTTCCAAGGAATGTTTCCGGTAGCTTAAAAGAAACTTTCAAAATGAAAATAAATTCCCAATTGGAAACTTTCCAAAACGGAAAGTTTCCTTAAAATGGAAACTTTCCGATTCCCATCTCTAGCTTTAAATTTAAAATTTTACGTTTGTTGCCTTTTTCAGCTAAACTATTGAAGTTAGACGAAAAAGTCGAATGGCAATTTTTTAGCTTGTCTGATGGACCACAAAAAAGTTTTAGGCGAATTTTTTGTATCGTCAATATTCTAAAAGTTACAGGCGTATACAATCATCATTTTTGTATTATTAACTTTAAATTTAAAGCTCTGTAAAAAATCAAATAATGAAAATAGAAATTCGGTTTAATAAGATTTTTTTGTCCAAATTTAATGCTTTGTAAGAATTAGTCATGGATTTTATGAAAAAAAAATCTTCCTAGGTTGCAAGAATAAATAAGGTAAAAAAGTCAGTTTTCTGTGTTATTTAAGCGGCAAAACTTCAGATTCGATGGAGGACCTCTTAAAATTGAAATTATGAGCTCGGCTTTTAACAGAATATTTGTTCGGACATATTCTACGATATTTTGGGTGGAGAGCAAGAAAAAAAAATATCGAGTTGTTTTGGCACACCCTAATATATATATATATATATATATATATATATACATGCATTTTGTCTTATACACCTCCAAAATATATAAAATCTGAACGCACACGCCTCAAAAATCGGAGGTAAATTGGAAAATCCGGAGGTCAGTTCGTATCCCCGTGTATAAGAGTCTAAAACGTTTAGCGAAGTCATAAGACGCTTGTACGCAAATTTTTGTCTGGAGTTCATTTGGCAAATACACATGCATAGTTACACAACGTAGTTCATCAAAATTTCACCAGTTGGCGCTACTACATATACACATATATTTCCCGAAAAGTCTGCAGTATCTTCTGGACTCCATACATTCTTCGCTCTTACTTACTTCCTGAGAATCGGCAACGCTGTTGGAGGCAAATTAGTGCAAGTAATTTATTTTTATATCATTATAATGCATTTTAAATAGTTTCCAAAGGTTTTGTTACTTTTTAATTGGGTGTATACACTGTACGGCAAGTAAGTTACCTCACGTAACCAGGGTTCTTTTATTTCTTTATCGGATATTAAAGGACTGGTAAGTTAATAGGTAGGTTTTAATTTAATTATTTTACAGCACTAAAACAATATTTCCTTTCAGTAAGCCGACTAAAAACTTAACAGTTGGTAAAGCATGCTAGCTCGCCATGAATATTATTTTTAAGGGTAAGTACTAACGAAATAAATAAAAATAATTATTAATATGTTACTTTTTAGCGATAAATTACAATCAGATTTTAAGACAAGAATAATCCATTCACAGTAACATTTGCAAATTATTATTCGTTTTATAAAGCATATTAAAATTATTTTAACTATTATTATTGATTTAATAATTAATATTTTTTCTTTTTTATAGCTCATAATTCAGAACACACAAAAGTCATCAAAAGCAGCTATAGGAAACTACTAATATACTACAGATTTTGTATTTATATGTCTTTTTAAATAAATGTTTAATTATTATTTATGGTTGTATTTTTACTATAAATAGCAAATTTACTAAAACCTTTACTTGTAGGTATAGGTTTTAGTAAACTTGCACATTCAATTGAATTAATATTAATATTCCAGGTTCTCAATTATTTTTAATAAATTAATTAAATTACGGAATATGGCGAGGAATAAAAACAAATTATTATATTTTAAGTTTTATTAAGAAATTAAAAATATAAAGAATTGAACAAATCAATTTTTTTTTATTTTTTATTAAAAAAAGAATAAAACGCTTAGGGGTTACTTTTGTCGATAACAATTATAAATAAAAGTTTTTATTTTAACCCAGTCTTTGTTATGAAGAATATCAGGAAATTTTTCAATCAATTGCACACACTCTTGTTTTTTAGGAGGTTTTTTGGAGCTAATATGCTCTTTAAAGTATTTCTTTAATAACATTGTTTGTTCATTATTCCAAGGGGTTCTACCATTTATTTTGATTTTTTGACAGCGAACATCTGTTTTTTCTGAAAAATAAATTAAAATACTATTATAGTATAATACTATATAGGTTTGCATTTTAAATTTATATAATATATAAATTTAAAATGCAAACCAATAGCACATTATGCTTTTCCTGAGGATTATTTACTGCCACAAGATTATTTATTTGTTTAAATTACCTTCTGCTGTAATTTTTTCCTGAAAACCACATTTTCCAGCTAAAATAGTCCCACTTTCTACTTCCTCATCAGACTCTTCTGCTAATTCTTTTTCCGGATTTATATTTATTTCATTTAAGGACTTTCCCTTATAATCTTCAGCTCCTCTCTCCATAAGTAGTAAGAGTTTTGACACTTTTGCTGTCTGATATATATCTTGAGGTAACCTAATAATGGTAAAAAGAATTCATGAAGTAAACAATTTGGTTTTGTATTTTTTTTTTAAATTTAAACAACAACAAACATTAGGTAAACAAATAAATTTAATTATTTTTTCCAATTTAAATTTTTTTTAAATCCCACTGTTAATATTAAAATTGTTTAAACTTACTTATAAAATTCGTTATGTGTCTTTTGAGTATGCCCCATGAATTGAGCAAATTGGTCCAATTCATCATTGCTTAGATTAAGAATTTGCATAACAGTTGCTATTTGTTTTCTTAATTTATTTGAAGAAATTTGGGTGGGATTTGAAATACCAGCTTTCTCAGCAAATCTGCGAATAACAACGTCTCCCCGTGTCCATTTAGTCGTACCTGGGCATCCAAATAAGTATTTGTTATCCTTGGGGACTATTTCAGAATTTATTCGAATATTAACGAATAATTCAATATAATCTTGCAATTTAATAGGAAATAAAATTGCGATTGCCCTGCTACCTTTCCCACCAGTTACAAGCCTTTTGTAATGTTTTGTAAGAATTTTTTCAGTTTCTGATAAGGCGTTTTCGAATTCCTCTTGGTTACATGTATTTTTATTATATTCAGTGTATGTTTCTAAACTTGTGTACTGTACGTCGCCTATTCTTCTTCTATTAAAAAGAATAGTTAATGTAAGGGAAGCTTCAACCAGGTTTTTGAATTCTTTTTTATTATTCGGTTCTTGCTTTAATATTGTAAATGCTTTATCCGCAACTTCGGTGACATACTCTTTAAATTTTTTGACATCAGATGTAAGAGGCAATATGACTGGTTTCTTCCAACGCATTTCTTGAATATTTTTGAAAGCAAGACTGCTGATTTCGGTGGTCCATTGTGTTTCTATTAAGTTTTTGAATCGCTTGGTTTCTTTAATCACCCCTTCTCTATTGGTCACCTTAATCACAGGATCTTCTTTAAGTAATAATCGAATAAAAATGTCGCAAACTTGTTTTAATGATGTTCCTAAGTGAGCTGACAAACTAGGCGATTTGTATATTTTTTTTTCTATATCATAACCCCCTAACCTTTTCGCGCATTCAACTGTAGCATCAAATAACTTAGGTGACAAAATATTTTGTAGGGTGCAATTAGGATTATTTGTATTTTTTCGGAATTCCAGAAGAAACCTAGCCAGTTCCCTCATTTTGTTTGAACAAACGGTAACTATTTGTTCTCGTTTGTGTTTTTTTAAGTAGTTTTCTCCAAATATAGTTATTAAATAGTCTGTTTTTGCTATTAAAGATATGTTATCAGCTTTCATTCTGGAAAAAACTTCTTGTTTAACCCTTAATTTGCATACTGT